TGTAGAATTTCCTGCATTCTCTCTGGCTAGTGTATCCTCATGGTGTCATTTAACATGTTTTTCTGTTCTTCATATAGTAAATAAAAAGTGGTTCTTAAATTTAGATGTTTGATTTGGTTCAGGTTAATTTTTATTTATTTATTTTTTTGAGGAAGATTAGCCCTGAGCTAACATCTGCCGCCAATCCTCCTCTTTTTGCTGAGGAAGACTGGCCCTGAGCTCATCTTCCTCTACTTTATATGTGGGACGCCTACCACAGCATGACTTGACAAGTGGTGCCATGTCCGACCTGGGATCTGAACCGGTGAACCCCGGGCTGCCAAAGCGGAAGGTGCAAACTTAACTACTGTGCCACTGTGCCGGCCCCTAATTTTTTTTTTTAGAGAAGACTTCATAGATGGTGCTGAGTACTTCCAATTGCATCACATCAGAAGGCACATGATATTTGATTGTTATGGGCTAAATGTGTCCCCCCAAATTCGTATGTTGAAGAGCTAATTCCCAGTATCTCAGAATATGACTGTATTTGGAGATAAGGCTTTTAAAGAGATGATTAAATTAAAATGTGGCTGTTTGGGTGGGCCCTAAGTCAGTCTGACTGGTGTCCTTGTAAGTAGAGGAAATTTGGATTCACAAAGAGACACCATATGTGTACCTACAGAGGGAGGACCATGTGAGGCACATGAGAAGGCTTCTAAAACCCAAGGAGAGGGGCCTCTGCAAAAACCAACCTTGACGGCCCCTTGGTCCTAAGATCCTTCTAGCCTCCAGAACTGTGAGAAAATAAATTTTTGTTGTTAAAGCCACCCAGACTGTGGTCCTTTGTTATGGTAGCCTTAGCAAACTAATACGGACTTGAGACACTTGTTACGCCCTTTCTCTGGAAGCTTACAATTTAGAGGACGATACAAATGTGCACGTTAGTATAATACCTGGTGATGCAGTGATGTAAGTACTAAACGGAGGCTTAGGTAACATGAACTATTCAAAGGTAAATGCTGTTCAGGAAAGACAGAGCAAACAATAAAAGTGCCAGGAGCTTTAAACTCTTTTTTGGGGAAGATGATGTGATAAATAAGTAAAATAAACAAGGCCACATCTCTTGGCTTCCAGGTCAGTGCTTTATCTACGAGAAGATACCCACTTTTTTTTGTCTCCATTATCTAGCAATCTTCTACAGTAACCTAGGTATAGCTGCCTCTGTATCCAACAAAAAGCCTCTCTGGGTAACTACTCCTTTTGTCCATGAGAAACAAAGGATTTCGAAGCCAGGTCAGTCTGCTTATCTTTGCTGCCATTTTCTCATCAGAATCCTTTCTTGATTATTGATTATTGAATTCTATCTTGATTATGATTCAAAAAGAATATAAAAGAATATAAAAAAAGCATAGCAAGTTAGATAACTACTTATCGTCAACCTTTTGGTTAAGACCATGCTTCATATCATATTAATATATTTCACATAAAGAAAATATATTTTAGCCCTTTACCCTTATAAGAAATCAGCCTGAGAAGCATTTGGGGAAACAAGGTTCCGTTTCACCTCAGGATCAGTTCTTTACTTAGATGTTTCCTTCTGAGAACCCTGACAGTTTTGCCTACTCTCTTCTACCCAGCTGGCTTAGAATCCCACTCACCCTTTCATATACTTTCACAATACACATGTTTGCTATTCTTCGTGTTCCCTGTTAAAATAATAGGTTCTTAGCAAATATTTATTGAAGGAATGAATATCTGTAGCCCAAAACACAATTTAAAATTAACTTCAAAAAAATCACCTGACTTTTCCTTCTGCTACTGTCTCTTCTTGGTCCAATCAGAACATCATTGGCACTTTTACTTAAAATATATTTAGATGTATCCTAGATTGCTCAAAACTCTCCAGAAGTGACTAAACCTATTCCTTGGAACAAAAACTTAACATGCACTCATCATATGGTGATTAATAATATTTACATATGAATGCAAATATACGCACACCATTTTGAAAAGTACATTTCAGCTTTCCTCACAACTTATCAATTCTGTATGTAATTTCTACCTTTTTTTATATTTCTCCCTAAGAAAGTAGTGTGCGAGAGGTTAATACATGGGTCCTACAAACTATTACTTTCATTCACTTTTAGAATTCATTCCTTCTTTTACCAAAGAGTGTTAGCAGTTAAAATAGGCAAAATTAATCAAAATAAAGAAGTTACAAAATGTCTGCATTTCTTTAGTGATTTTTTTTTTTACAATTCTCAAAGGTATCACTTAGATTAAAAGACTGCAGTAAACATTCAGGACTGTCTGAGGTATGCTTGTGAGAGAAGGAAGGAAAAAGGAGAAATTTAAAAGTTATAAATAAATGCATTCAACTTCAATTGTAGTGTGTAGCTTAAGAAGCTATGGCAGAAGGTAGGAAGTACCTGAGAGCTACTGCAGCATCAAATTCATATTACCTTTTCTCCTTACTGTTGAATATGCATCATGTCATTCCTAGGAGTGTATCAAGCCCACGGGAGATGAAGAGAAGTAGAGGGAAGTTGGGTGAGAGGTGACTAGATGGTGATAAGGTAGTTTGAACTATTGAATACCTTAGTGTGCTTATAAAATATGTAGATTTCTACCCTAAAAACATTGAATTAGAATCTCTGAGGATGTGGCTTTCTGACCTATATTTAAATAAACTCCCCAGGTGCTTCGTATCCCACACATTTGAGGAGATGACTTTGACCTGAGATCTGAATGATGAGAAGGGAGCCAACCATGCAAAGACCTGGGCAAGAAGGTCTAGTGCTGTCCAGTTGGAGTATAATACAAGTCATATATGTAATTTTTAAAGATTATAGTAGCCACATTAAAAAAGTAAAAAGAAACAAGTGAAATTAATTTTTACAGTTAACAGTATATTAAAAATATGTCAACATGAAATTAATATAAAAACCATTGAAGATACTTAACATTCTTTTTTTCTATTAAGTATTCAAAATCCAGTGTGCATTTTATACTTACTGCACATCTCAGTTCAGATAAGCCACATTTCAAGTGCTCGATAATATCTGACTGGTGGCTGCCTTATAGGGTAGCACAAATCTAGATAGAGCAAGCAGCCAGTACAAAGGCCCTGATGGAGATTCATGTAGAGATGTGCATTTGACATCAAGAAGTTGAAAATATTGGTCTTGAACTTTGGAAAAAGATCAAAACTAGATATAGAGATTAAAAAAAATCATTGATATGGAAGACTTGTCACACAGGGTGTGAATTTCAGTGAAGACTTCTTGGACTCACCTACAGGGATTTTTCTAACCACATACTCGCACCCAAAAGGTCAGGGAAGAATCTTGGCAGGGTGAGAGGTGAGGCAGGAGAGACAGGGAGAGTGTATGTGTATCTCAGGAAGGGGGAGAACATAGGCAGATATGGAGTTTCTCCATCGTTGGTTCTGATATGATCCCTCCCTGCAGTCCCCACTCCTGGCTGAGAACCACTGGTGGTTAAAAGGGAAATGAGGATCAAAGATGCTAAGAAAGATATATAGAGAGAAAAGTCGTGCTAAAGAAGTAAAGGAGGGAGATTCAACAATCCATCAAGCAGGAGGAGGTCAGGACTTGTGCAAATTAAGATATTATTGATGATGACTGAGGACAAAGTTTAAATAGAGTGGTCAGCTGGGCTAAGATGGGTTCTGAAGATGTCAGTGGAGACAGAACTGCTGCCTAAGTTACCTGAAGGTCCCAGCTAGATTGGCTACCAAAAGGTCATGCTGTGCCCTGCCAGCCAGAGTTCCTTAAATTCTTCCTTTAAATTTGGGTTAAGGTCCATCTGTGTTCCCTCTTTTATAGTTCTTACAGCTGTTGCATTTTCATTAATTGTTTGTGTAGTATATCTCTGTCCTCAACCTGACCACACTATAGAGCCACCAGGGGAGCTTTTTAAAAGTACACGTTCCTGACGCCCTCTCCATCTCAGAATAAGTTGAAATTTCTAGGAGTGGGGCCTAGGCATCACTATTTTTTAAAGCTTTCCAAGTGATTCTAATGATCTAGGGTAGAAAATTATTGATCCATAGCATAGTGAGCACCTCTATGACAGAAAATGATTTACTCATTTTTGTGCCCCCAGAGTTTGACTCATTATGTAGCATATGGTTAGTTCTTAGTAAATGTTTATTGAATGAATGAAAAATGAAGAAGCTAAAAAATGAGAATTGTGGCAAGGGGACTAGGCAGGTCCTTGTGGGTGGCTTAATAAATTAACATTTCCTTTCTTTATAATGAATAGTTACCAGGCAAGTTATTAAATACACTGCACCTATTTCAGAATCCTTACTATTAGTGTAAAACTGTTTCCCCAAATTGGTCCAAATCACAGTATTGACATAAAATCTCAGATGTAAAAATAGACTACAGAATTGGTAGGGCTATTCTCTAACTGTCTGTTTGACTGCACATACCAACAAGATGTGGTATAGTTAACTGTTTCACTGAGTACAGTATGCAAGAGAAATTACTGCATTTGGGATAAAGGATTTTTGTTGCCAATTTAAAGTAAGTACTTTCAGTTTTCACAGAATTAACTACAACTCAATAAATCCTATTGTGTTTAAAATTTAATGCTGTGGCTATTCAAAACTTCCTATTTACACAGATATTTATAGTTCTTTCTTATGACTCTTAAAGCCATTGAAGTAACTATAATTGACCATTCAGCAGTTGCCTTTTGCCACTTTTATATGAGAAAAATGGAAAGAAATAGGCATAAAATGTTCTGCAAAAATAAAATAAGCTGGTAGTCACTAACATAATGCATCATCATCGTAATTAAGTGGAATTTTCAATCCCAGACGTATTTTATAGGCTGCCCTTAGCCTGAGATCTGATAACTAGTAGGTACCTCAAATAATGATAATTCTCTTCCTTCTGCTCCACATGTAGCTAATGCTGTGCTAAGGGTTTAGAAAATTGAGTTAATCTGACACAGTTTAATATTCTAAAAATGCATTAATTTTCCCACAGATGAAAAGAAGTGAAGAATTGGTAACTAAAAATTATAATCAAGAAGACATAAGTATTCTTCGTTGTTGGAAATGTAGAAAATGTGTAGCAAGTTCCGATTGTTTCATGAAATATCTTGAGAATCAAGTGGTTAAGGTGAGTACTGCTAACTCCAGTCTTCAATTTCCTAGCATAAGAATGCTGCAGGCACCCCCACGTGTGCACACATATCCCTCCACACCTGACTTAGCTTTTCCCTTATTTTATCTGACCCACTGAAAACAATTCAAAGTGGTATTCAAAAGGCATCCCACCTTTCACAGTTACAATTAATTTTACCTTCAGCTGCTAACATTAACATGACCTTAAAGTTCCAAGGGCAAGATTGGTCATAAGTTGAAGTCCATGTTTTTTTAATCCCCACCATGAGTGAACCTTAGGCATCATCACATAATTAAATTCAAGGTCCTATTAAGAATTAAGAAATTCAATATCCTATTATATATTTTTTTAGTATTCAATATGGGCCTAGGAAAGAAAGTTCATGTATAGTTTAAAAAGTCAATAGGAAAACCTGAAAAATACTTAAAAACATTTAATTGATTGTCTTGGTAAAAATAAATGTTTTTATTTATTTATTTTTTTTTTGAGGAAGATTAGCCCTGAGCTAACTACTGCCAGTCCTCCTCTTTTTGCTGAGGAAGCCGGGCCCAGAGCTAACATCCGTGCCCATCTTTCTTTGCTGTATATGTGGGATGCCTACCACAGCATGGCGTGCCAAGCAGTGCCATGTCCGCACCCGGGATCCTAACTGGCGAACCCCGGGCCGCCGAGAAGCGGAATGTGCGAACTTAGCCGCTGCGCCACCAAGCCAGCCCCAAAATAAATGTTTTTAAAACGACAAAAATAGAATTCCTAAACTTCTCTAGCAGCAATATGAAAGAGGCAATTTCAAAGAGTTGCAAACTAAGTAGTAATTCATAGACTTCACACAGAATTCCCAATGCAACAAAAACAGCATCTGTAATCACATATCTTTGTTTTTTTCCGCTTTGAGCAACACAGTTTTTTTTATTTGTTAGTTTTGTTTTGTTTTTTGCCTCAGCCACATTTGATCGTGGTTATTTCCTCTCCACTCTAATAGATTAGCCAACTTGAAGTGATAATAGTAGATAACTTTAGTTGCCTACTCACCACACGCCAGATGTAGTGACAGCTGACAAAACATTTTAATTGGGAAAAAAAACCTTTTCATGCTATGCGTATTTAATTGGGTTTAATTTACGTAGAGTAAAAGAAAAGTTAAGCATACTGCTTGATAATTTTTTTCAGCCCTGCTGTGAATTAGATGAAGATATACAACATTTCTATCACCCTAGAAGGCTGTCTTGCTCTTTTCCAGGCAATACTCTCTTCTCCCAGGCAACCACTATACTGATGTCTATCACCATAGACTAGTTTTGCCTGTTCTTGACTTTATTCAAGTGGAATTATATAATCATATAGCATGCACTTTTTTGTACCTGACTTATTTTGCTCAGCATGTGTTTTAGAGATTCATTTATATTTTGTGTGTATCTGTAGTTTTTTCTGTTTTTTACTGAGTAGTATGTCGTTTATGAATATGCCACAGTTTATCAATTTTTTCTGCTGATGGACATTTGAATTTCCAGTTTGGGGTTATGAATAAAACTGCTACCAATATTCTTGTAAAATACTTTCTCTGTGATTTATTTATTTTTTCTGAGGAAGATTGTCCCTGAGCTAACATCTGTGCCAGTCTTGCTCTAATTTATATATGGGTCACCTCTGTAGCGGGGTAGGTCCACACCTGACATCCAATCCTGCAAACCTGGCCTGCTGAAGCAGAGCATGCCAGACTTAGCCACTAGGCCATGGGGCCAGCCCTCTCTGTGTTTTGTTATTTCTTTTTGATAGATACATAGGAATGAATTTGTGGGGGTGGAGGGGGGGCTGATAGAATAGGTGTATTTTTAATTTTTTTAGAAATTGCTGGTAGTTTTCCAAAGTGAATATTCACTTCCAGTAACAATGGTGAGAATTCCAGTTACTCTGCATCTTTGCCAGCACTTGGTATTTTCAGTCTTTGTAGTTTTAGCCATTCTGGTAGATGTATAGTGGTATATCATTATAGTTTTAATTTGCATTTCTCTAGTGGCTAATGATGTTGAGGCATCGGTTAGGCATTGTTTTAAATGTTTTGTAAGATTTATGTTTTATAGTATAAGGATAGATTATCATGAGGAAGATAATCTATCATCTTCATTTCATGGATAAGGAAACTGAGGCACAGAAGATTAAATAATATGCCCAGATCACACTTCGACTGAGCAGGGCAGCGGCAATTGGACCTGACAGTGAGGGTCTGGAGCCAGTACTCTGAACCTCTACACTCTCTTTCCTGCCTTTGTTCTGCCCTCAGGATATCATGCATTTTACACCTTTTCAACAGAGTGGCTTATTCTTTTATTTACCTAGAGAATTCCTATTCATTAATTCATTTAATAAATATTTAATGAGCAAGAAAGTTTCAAGCACTGCTCTAGGATTTATTGAGATGGGTTGTGGAAGAGAGTGATACAGAATCAAAAATTCTTGTCTTCTAGGAGCTTTTAACTCTAGTTGAAAATAGGCCAAGCATTATAGCCTGATTTGATAAGTACTGTAACAGAGGAATGCAAACAAACTACTACCAGGGCTGGTCACAAAAGCCTTCCTGGAAGAGGTAATGTGAAAAGGAAGGAAAGAAAGAAAGAAAAAAATATATAAATACATATATTTTACAACTTTTTAAGTATAACTTGTAAACCATAAAATTCATCCATCGTAAAATACACTTCAGTGATTTTTAGTAAATTTTGAGTTGTGCCACCACCATTACGATATAGTTTTGAAACCTTTCTATTACCCTACAAAATTTCCTCAGGCCCATTTGCCCTGCATTGATGCCCAGCCCCTGGCAACCACTGATCTACTTTTTGTCTCTATAGCTTTATGTATAAAATAAAATGTTTATGTATATGCATAATAATATATATAAAACTATTGAAACTATTTCATAAAATAAAAGTACTTTATATAAATATATAAAACCTAAATATGTAAAAATTAATATATGCGAAATATAAACATTTCATTAAAATGTTAAAGATGAACAAAAAATCTGTTTTGATTAAAGGAAACTATGAAATAAAATATTGGAATGTAAAGTAATTTTATCAGTTGCCATGCTGAAACAATGTTAAATCTATCACCTATCAAATTATTATAATTTATATTACCTATTAAACTATACAATTAAAAATTTGAAAATACATGTGTGTATAATGTAAGTTGTTTCTGAAAGTGTTTTGTTTACTTTCTGTAAATGGAATCACACTGTAAGTAGGTATTCTTCTGGGAATTGCTGCTTTTACTTAATATCACCATGTTTAGTGTAATTCCAGTTTATTTTCACTTTTGTGTAATATTCCAGTTTATTAATATATCACAATTTATCATTCACTCTATCAATTTATAATTCAGATGTCTATCTTGAGTTACATTTAGTTGTTTTGCTCTTACAACAGTGTTGCTATGGGCTTTCTTGCATGTATCTTGGCACGCATGGGCAGGAGTATATTACTAGAAGTGGAGTTACAGTGCCATAGGGTACTGCCACGTTCAACTTTCCTGGGCAATGCTAAGCTGTTTTCAAATGATGGTCCCATGAGCAGTGGTTGAGCATTGCTGTGATTCCACATCTTTGCCAACATTTAATGGCTTCTCATTCTCTGAGGTCATTTGTGTTTTCTGTGAAATGTCTTTTTTTCTTGCCTGTTTTTATATTAGGTAGCTTTGTTTTGATTTTTGGAAGTTCTTTATGTATTCTAAATACTAATCCTTTATTGGTTATTGTATTGTAGATATCCTTTGCTAGTTTATGTAACTTGTATTTCGTTCTTTGTGGTATCTTTTGATAAACAGAAGTTCATGACATAATGCAGATGAATTTATTAATCATCTCCTTTACGTTTGGTACTTTTTGTTGAAGAAATTCTTCTATACCCTGAGGGGAAGATATTTTTCCTTTCCTTCGACTGAATACAAAACTTGAGATAGGCAAGTTTCTTTCTGTGTCCTTCTGAGCAACAGATTTATTTCTCTTTAATCCTTACACTGAGATTATAACCCAGCTTTGTGTAGGCATTCTCCCTCAGGGTCTCCCCACCTTGAGCAAACCCTGGACTTTATCTCCTGTCTTCCACACTTCATGCAGACATGCATGGCCCTCAGAACAACACAGAAGATCAGGAAACTGGGGATACAGCATCCAGAGCTGTTGGCTCCAGGACCACACTTTGTTAGCCCTGACCAATGCCAGGAAATGGAAGTCTCACACTCTGCCTGTCACCCCTCACAAAACTAGGAACTGGACACTTGGAATCACTATAATTTCTGCTGCAGAATAACCAGGTACCTCCCAAAGCAAGCTTGCCAGAAGAAACAGCGCAAATACAGTTATTACTTCTGCCTTCATAATATTGAGCAGGTGTACCACTTGATGGAAACTAGGTCATTGTGGGACTCGATCTCTAAGGGGATCTGGGACATTTGAGCTTTAGTTTTCCAGCCATTAACATGTAGTAAGGCATATGACAGGGAATTTTGAGACAATCCACAATGTCCAAAGGAGAAAAGGGGACTCCTACCCTACCTTCAGGACTAAGATACATGAAATGTGGGCAAGAACCAAAACCAAAAGCAAAATAAGAATACAAAACCCCTAAAAACATAAAAATAAAACAACAGAAATGGTCTCTGTTTGTGAAGTCTGGGCGATGGGGGGGATGATATACTCAGTTTTACTTTTTTAGTCAGTTTTGATACAGTTTTGGACATGTCAAGTTTATGTAGCCTATAGAACATTCAGATAGAGATTTCTATGAGGCGGGTGGTTCTATGGATATGGGGTTCAGAACAGAGTTCTGACGAAAAGTGTCAAGTTGGGAGTCATCAGCATGTAAGTGGTGAGTGAAGCTGTGAGAGTGGATGAGGTCACCATGCAGAGTATGAATGGAGTGAGAAAAAAGAGGGCGCAGGAACATTTAGAGGATGGACAGAAAAAAAAGAAGCTCATAAAGTAGGAAAAAAAG